GGGGCAACCGGGGGCGGCCGCCTCGGGTGCCAGACTCTGGGGGAGGCGCCGTTAGGACCCAGAGTGCACAACGTTGTGTAGGGAGCGGAGCAGCCCCGTGAGGGGAGCGGAACCGGAAGGAGGCAGAACGAGACCTTGCAAAGTTTTGGCCCAAGCGAGGGGGCCTGGGGCCCATTTCAGCTCCCCGCCTCAGGTACCAAAATGTTGTGGCCGGCCCTGGGTTTGGTCCCAGAATAGGGACTTAGGAGCCGTTAGGACCCAGAGTGCACAACGTTGTGTAGGGAGCGGAGCAGCCCCGTGAGGGGAGCGGAACCGGAAGGAGGCAGAACGAGACCTTGCAAAGTTTTGGCCCAAGCGAGGGGGCCTGGGGCCCATTTCAGCTCCCCGCCTCAGGTACCAAAATGTTGTGGCCGGCCCTGGGTTTGGTCCCAGAATAGGGACTTAGGAGTCACGTTCCTGTGTCCTCAGGCCTAAGTGACCTGCCCACAAGTCGGGGACTGAGCCGGTGGCTGCTTCCAAGGTGGCCTAGGGCTTGGGGCCACTGGGCCGCCCTGAGCCTGCGCGAGCGCCCCGGGGCTCACACGACTGCCCTTGTGTTGCAGGTTGGCAGCGGGGGAAGCCGCGCAGGGCTGCCTGGAGGAGGACAAGGAGCACCTGCAGCTGAAAGACATCAGGGATGGATTCAGCTCCACCTTTGAAAAAATCGTGGAGTCCGAGCTCATGAAGGGCACGTACTACAGCAGCCTGGACTCCCTGGACGTGCTCTCCCTCACCGACGAGACCGACAGCTGTGTCAGCTTCGAGGCGCCGCTCACCCCCCTCATTCAGCAACGGGCCAAGGAAAGCCCAGAACTCGGGGACCAGAAACTGGGGGCCCAGCAGAACGCAGCCCTGGAGGCGGATAAGGAAGAGCAGGCCGCCGCGAAGCCAGCCGAGGGCGATTTGGGGAGCCCCCTGCGGCACTCGATTACCAGCAGCCGGTCGGAGAACGTGCTCAGCCGGTTATCCTTGAAAAACATCCCCAACGGGTTCCACGTCGAGGGAGCGGAGGAAGACGCCTCGAAGCTGATTAGCTCCATCAGGTAAGGCAGGCGGGGAGCGCGGCGGCTGGGCGTGGTGTTTGTTCTGTGTTTGTACAGCACCGAGCACAGCGGAGCCCATCCACCTAACTCGTGCTCCTCGACACTGCCGACTATTATTGTTCTATCTTGTGCTTCCCTACGTGCCATGGCAATGAACAGCCAGTATCCATCTGGGGGGACGCGTGTCCATCAGTCTCTCTCTTAGTGGGACCCAAGCCTGGGATCACGGCGAGACGTAGACAGACAAACCTGCAGCAAGGGAGGCTTAGCTTGGACATTAGGAAAAAGTTCTTAACCGTCAGGGTAGTCAAACACTGGAGTAAATTGCCCGGGGGGGTTGTGGAATCCTCCTCTGTGGAGATATTGAAGAGCAGGTTAGATAAATGTCTATCAGGGATGGTCTAGACAGTACTGGGTCTGCCTAGAAGGCAGGAGACTGGACTCGATGACTCTCGAGGTCCCTTCCAGTCCTAGTATTCTATGAATTTCCTGTACAGCCACAGAGTCCTTGGCGAGCGTGAAGGATGGTGCACGCCAGAGCCGCTTACGAGAGGAATTGCCGTAACACAAGGAAACGGGGTCGGTCTGAATTAGAGATGCTGAAGCTGTGTAACTCGGCTGATGTAGAACTCTAATGAGCTCCATTACTCTTCCCTTCACTAGGGGCAGGGTGGAAGAATCATGTAAATTGCGGAGCTGGAGTTGACGTGCCATGCACCAGTTTTCTGGGGCAGCCCCACGATGGGAGAAATGCGCCCGTCGACTTCCCTTATTCCTGACGACAGCGAGGCATGCTGGCACTGATGGGGGCGCCCTCAGCATTTGATTTAGCAGGGCTTTACTAGACCCACTAAATCAAACCCTGGAGGATTGATCGCCAGCGCGTCAATCCTCCAGCAAGTGGAGACGTGGCCCCAGAAAGGGACCATCCTGCCCAGGTCTGACCAAGCGTCTGGGTTTCTGACAAACATCTTGCAGCTGGTTGAGGGAAGGTGTCTGAGTTTCTCTGCAAACAGCTCCATGACAGAGCAGTTGGGGATTTGCTTTGAGGGCTCCGGAAAATCCCCTGCCTGTTTCGTTCATTGATTCCTCTTTACCCCGCAGTGACGCCAGCTTAAAAGACGCCCTTTCCGACTCAGACTCCGACCTGGGCAGCACGGAACAGCTCGACCATGGCAGCACGGACACCTTAGCAAACGGCTGCAGGGCAGACAGCGCCGCCGCCAAGCGCCTAGCCAAGCGCCTCTATCAGCTGGAAGGGTTCAAGCGCTGCGATGTGGCGCGCCAGCTCGGGAAAAAGTAAGTGGCCAGGTCCCGCGGCAAGCGTGAGAGGGCGTGGACCCTGGAGAGGAGGCTGCCGCTGTTGGTCTGGCTGGGCTCCGAGCCGGCATGGAAGCGTGGCCCGACTCCATGGGGCGGAAGTGACCGAACGCTGCTTCGCTTGGGGATGGGAGGGACTCCGTAGGGGAAAGCTCTGTCGGGCCAGGACATTCTGGGGCTTGCTTGGGAGCCAGGGTCGGGTCAGAGCATTGGCACGGTTCTGGATAATAAGCGCTGGGTGATACTGACATGGGCCCCGCCCACGCCTCTCGATCCAGACACTCCTGAGCATTGGGGGCGTTGAGCGTGTCGGGCAGCACCATGGCTCCCTTTCGCTGCCGATTACAGATGAACCAGACCTTGCCCCACAGAGCAAATGCCTCCTGACTTTAGAACAGGCCAGTCCAGAGCCCTGAAACTTGCCCCCAGAGTCTGAGGGCTCGGAGATCCGGGTCTGCCCTTCGTGACTTGCACCCATTTCTGACGTACTGAAATCTGACGTAAGCCCCCCGGGGACGTTGCTTGGAAGAGGTGGCTGTTGGGGAGAAGCTCAGTAGGACTCTGAGCGGTGGTTTTATTGCAGCCCTCCAGTGGGCTCAGCCGTGTATAAATCAGGGACCTCGTTTTCTCTGCCACACAAAGCAGAGCCGAGGTCACTGCGAAGGGACCTCTCCTAGCGCTGCACAGTCGGTTGCCCCGGGCGATCCCGGGAAGGGTTGGTTCTGAGGCTGTTGCCTGGCCGATGGTGCCTTTCCTTGCTGTGTACAGTTGTGTGGTCTGCGCCTGTTGCCAGCGACTGCCCCACGCTCTCCCTTCCATCGGAGGTCTGACCCCGGGTCAGGAGCAGCTTCTGTTAAAAGTGCCACTGTCACGCACGAGCCCCGTGGCAATTAGACTATCGGTCCTGCGGCCGCAGCGCCTGCCGGAACGAACAGGGGCGCTGTACGGAGCAGGGTCAGACCAGCTCTGGTCATCCACTCCCTGCCGCGCACACCTGCATGAAAGGGCAGGAACCAACGCCAGGCTCCGGTGGCAATCGGGGGCCCCCCGGCAGGGCATTTCGGACAGCGACTCAGCATGCCGCTTGCGTTGCGAGCCAGGGAATAAGAACCCGAGCGCGTGTTGACCAAACCACTCGCAATAATGGAGCACGCGCACGGAGACGACAGCTACTCTACTGCCCCGGGCGCCACCAGCTGCCCTGGTGTGGGCTGGCACGCTCCCCACCCCCGGGCGCACCCTTCGGACCTGTAGGATGTAGCAATCGGACCTTCTCCCCGGCACGTAAGTGGTTTTATGCCCTTCGCTACGTACTGTTACGAGGGAATCTCTGAATTCAGAGCAGGGGGCAGAACTGAGCTGGGAGAGCAACCCCGCTGGTTACGCAGACGAGAGTGGCCCGTGAACGGCTCTTCAGCCAATGCCGTGCAGATCCACTTCTGACCCTCTGCCGGAATTCCGGGGAGACACATTTGAACAGCTCAGATCTGCGGAGTCCTACTCCTGGCTCCGGACTAAGACGCTGGTGACTGCTGCAATCTGATAACCGTACTGGTCACGGCTCTTCCCAAGAGGGTCGGAATTTGGAGAGGGGAGAAAACACCAGGCTGAGACATAATGTTAGATATGGGCCCTGTGGGATTTTCTGCTTGGCTTGGCCCGTTAGTCCAGGGACCTCTCTCACCCCTGCATGGGAATCTCATTTCTTTCCAGGCCCGGCTTTTCCTGGGCTCTGTAAATTATACTACGAGCCTATGGAGGGCCAGGCTGCCCTGGTTGTATCCGTTTAGGGTTCGATGCCTGCCCGTTGGCATTAATAGAAAGATTCCTATTGATTCCCCGTCGTTCTGGGATCTTTCCCGGGGGACTCTTGTCTCCCATTGAAACCTGTTTGCTAACCAGCATGGGGTTTGTTTCCTTGCAGGGGCTGGCTGCCTTTGGGGCCCCTTTCCTGCCTGGGTGAGATCCCTGGCAAGAGAGCCTTCTGGGGCCAGGCACGGAGGTGGTGAGCGACGCCAGTGAACGGACGGGAGGAAAGGGGACGTTTCACTTCCGGGACGGCAGGGGAGCTGAGCTCTCCCAGGTTGCTGGCAGAACAGGCTCTGGATGGAGTGGCAAGGAGCTGGCGCAGGGCTTTCCCGGCAAGGGGCGGCCTGGGTTTTTGCGTGTGTCCTCTCAAAGCCAGAGTGGACGACTGAAGGACACGCTGCGTGACCAGCACACTCTCCTGGGGAAGGAGAGGGAGCGGAACACGGAGGCCACGCCGCGGCTGGAACAGCTCGCTCACAGTTGTGTTGCTCACTATCACTATCTTAGGCTGTGTCTACACTACATTCCTCTGTCGGCAGAGGCATGTAGATTAGGGTTGTAGGCAAAGGTAAATGAAGCCGCAATTTAAATGATCGCGGCTTCATTTACATTTACATGGCTGCCGCGCTGAGCCGACAAACAGCTGATCAGCTGTTTGTCGGCTCAGCGCGGCAGCCATGTAAATGTAAATGAAGCCGCGATCATTTAAATTGCGGCTTCATTTACCTTTGCCGGCTTTCATGTCGACAGGGGGAACGTCCAGACTAGCGGCGAGCCGACAAACAGCTGATCAGCGCGGCAGCCATGTAAATGTAAATGAAGCCGCGATCATTTAAATCACGGCTTCATTTGCCTTTGCTGAACAAACAAAGTCATGTAGTGTAGACGTACCCCCAGATCCATGGTGCTGAGTGTCGAACGTGTTTCATGCGTGTGGGGCGCCGGCAGCACGGGGTCCAGGCCACCATGCGTTCAAAATAAACACACGTGCCAGTGAAATCACACACCACCTGCTTTCTGGTGGGACGCCGTCACATCGCACGAGCGCGGCAAGATCGGCCGCACCAGCGGGTGCTCCGGTTGTCATGGAAGCGGGGCCGGCGCACAAGCAATTGGTCTATGTTCAGAACAGATGCAGCGCGCCCAGAGGTTCCGGACGTGATGGAGCTGGGACCTGCCAGGCCCAGAGGTGCCAGGCTCAGCCTGGGCACACCATGAGCACTGGCTGGGAGCCCTCCTCGGAAATCCCGGCACATGGGAAGTGGAGTTGGGGATGCAGCTGGGCGGCCGGGTTCCCTCTAACTTAGCACTGGGCCGATTCCGCAGGCTGCCGCTTGGAAGCGTCGTTCCGCCTCCCTTTGGCTGAGCCAGAAAGCCCGAGTCCTGCCCAGCTGTGACCACGAACGCCTGCCCAGCTCTCCCGGCACAAACTCACAGCACAGGGCCAGTTCTGATGCCAACGCCACCAAAAACACGGCAGCAGCGGCAAGTTTCCCACCTGGCTAAACAAGCAGTTCCATGTCTATGGCCTCTGACCCTGCAAATCTCCACTGAGGGAGGAACGATCCGTGTCTCACACACAGAATGGGAAGCGACTGTCTAGGGAGGAGCCCTGCAGAACGGGATCTAGGGCTCAGAGTGGACCACGAGCTACATAGGAGTCAACAGTGTGACGCTGTCGCAAGAGAAACAAACATGATTCCGGGAGGCATTAACCAGACTGTTGTGAGCAAGACACGAGAAGTCCTTCTTCCGCTCTGCTCTGCGCTGATCAGGCCTCAGTGGGAGGATCGTGTCCAGGTCTGGAAACCACATTTCAGGAAAGATGCGGAGAAATTGGAGAAGGTCCAGAGAAGAGAAACAAGAATGATGAAAGGTCTAGAGAACATGAGCTATGAAGGAAGGCTGAAAGAATTGGGCTTGTTTAGTTAGAAAAGAGAAGACTGAGAGGGGACATGAGAGCAGCTTTCAGGTATCTAAAAGGGTGTTATAAGGAGGAGGGAGAAAAATTGTTGTTCTTGGCCTTAGGACAGGACAAGCAGCAATGGGCTTAAACTGCAGCAAGGGAGGTTTAGGTTGGACATTAGGAAAAACTTCCTGCCTGTCAGGGGGGTTAAACACTGGAATAAATTGCTTGGGGGGGGTTGTGGAATCCCCGTCTCTGGAGATACTGAAGAGCAGGTTGGATAAATGTCTATCAGGGATGATCTAGCTGGTGCTTGGTCCTGCCGTGATGGCAGGGACTGGACTCGATGACCTCTCGAGGGCCCTTCTGGTTCTAGTATCTATGAGTCTATGAAAGGAGCCGTGAGCACAGCTCTGCTCTTCTTCCGTTGTACTCCAGGAGTAAAACCCTGCACTTGGATCCACTTACAGGCTCGGGGCTTGGGCCCTTGTTCTCCTGTCTCTCTCATCTGGCATTTCTGTCCTCGCCGGGTGTCATGGCTACACTTCTATTGCAAGTGTCTACACTTCGGGGCATAATCTCCTCTGCTCTGCGGAGTTCCCTGCACGCTTGAGTTGTGTTATGCTAACGCTGCAGGGCCCCTTTGTGCTGATGCAGATGTTAGCCCAACGTCCTGGACAAATTCCAAGGCAGATCATTGCTTTCTGCCTCCCTAAACTAACCCTGCAGGCTCTGCTCTTCCTGGCCTCGGCAGTTGTGTCCAGCTGTGGAGCACTGTTTCACCCCAGAAGCAGCCGCATTACGAGGCTGGATGAGTGATCCCTCTCCATTTGTAAAATGCTTCAGGGTTCGTTGAGGTGAAAGGGGCTCTCTCTGCGGGAGAATTAGCATTAGCGCTGCATTTTTCATGAGACGGAAAAGGGCCATCATTCCAGGAACTGCTGGGCCTCCAAAGGGCATGTGCCGTTACGCTGAGATAATTACCCATTTCTCGTAACCATCCATCAAGCATTCTTCCATTAACGTTTGAGTCACTGTCAAATACTAACGGAGCACGGCCAGGCGACAGCGCCACGGCCAGCGCACGCCCCGCGGAGAGTTCCGAGCCGGGCGACAGTACCACGGCCAGCGCGTGGGTGCCACGCGGAGAGTTCCGA